CCCTGGTTACAGCACTTCTGGTCACTGGAGGTCCCTAGGGGTGTGTATACGAGGTTTCCCATCATTTGAACTGTCTGCAGTCTGCCATCTCTGCCCAACTTTCACCAGGCCTCTCATGAGACCAGTGGCCTGTTGGCCAGTACCTCCACACACACAGCACACACAGCCCAAGAGAGTAGAAACCCCCTCAGACATCCCCTGAGACCTCACAAACCTCATACTTTTCTTCACACTTGGCAACTGGTGCTGGTGCCACTGTTGCTGCTATTACTGCTACTAAAAATGAAATCCAATATTAGCTACATTTTGTTACCCTGGAATTTAGGGAAAGAGATGGAGAGAAAAAACTTGCAAAGAATCTAAAAGAATTTATAAAGATAGCAATGGCTTAGCAGCCTGTACTGTCAAATGAAATTTCTACATTTTACACAGATGCATTCCTCAGATTGTCTTTGCTTCCCTTTAAATGAATAGAGTTAAATTAGTTCCCATACACTCAGGAATCCTCTGACACTTCTCTTCAAGAGCAAGCCTTTACTATTTTATTGCTTAAAATTCATATAAGCATTCAGTAATCTAAGTGTTCATACCAATATAAAGTTTAATGAAAATATATTAGGTAGGGTTGCATTCATATAGGCGGGTAAGCTTTACTCCATTTCTGTGTGAATCCTTAGTTCACTCACACACTTTTAGCAGTTTAGCTGGCTGCACTGAAGGCAAACAGATAGGAAGTGTTGTGAAGCTTCATAGGAAGCATTATAGGATAGGAAGCTTTGCAGAAGACTTCAGTGCCTGTTTCCCTATGCCACTCTTCTGTGGAAGCAGCTTTTAAACTGAGGCCCTTTGCCCCGTGTAGCTGCTTTATATCTGCATTGCAGTAATGTCTCTGTGCCTGATCATGTACCCCCACTGATACAGACCACAAACCTGACCCATGGACTCAGTTCCTGGCTTGATCTCAGACCTGCTTTGTTTTTATGGACATTTTTGATGATCTGGTCTCTGGGCTTCCTCCAGCTGCCTCAGCTTGGTCTGTCTTGATCCCTGCTAGGAGTGGTGGGATGAGCCTTTGCTCTTGAGGCCTCTGCCCTGCTGTCCACCCCATGGAGATGCCCTGCAGCTCCCAGCCCCTTTATATTTGCTAGCCTTGACATCCCAGATGTCAAGTTGAAGCCATTATTAAATCCTGAACTGTAAACCACCTCAGTAAACTCATTACAATCAGGATAAACTAGCATGGCTTCTGCAAAGGAAATTCAAGCCCTCTAATCTACTAAAACAGCAGACAAAAGGGAACAGGTTCATAAAATTTTTTTGACCTTTAGGAAGCCTTTAACAAAAAGCTTTTTCTAAAGCTTCCTAGTCACATCATGAAAAGTAAAATACTGTGATGGCTTATAAACAGATTTAGATACAGAAAACAAAGGATAAGAATAAATATCAATTTGCAGCATAAAAAAAAAAAAAAAAAAAAAAAAAAAAGTTAATAACTGGGTTCCCCAAAGGACCATATGAGGTTTTGAGGCATAGGTAGTTTGATAGACTCAATACTGATACAGAAAAAATTAGAAGAGGAAGGTGGTGATATTTGCTAAGAGTACAACATTATTTAGATTAGTCTAGATTGACAACATTTTATAAGATTTCCAAGGAAACGAAATTTACTTCCATAATCACAATTTAATTCTGACAATTGTAAGTTAATAAACACACAAAGAAATAATTTCACATATACAAATAATTTGCAGTCTCACATTAATTCAGACCACTTCATAGAGAATGTTGCTCTCAACAGTGAAAAGATGGATTTAGTAGCATCCAGTGATGCTTTATTTGAACAAAGTTTTTGAATGCACAGAAAATATTTTATATGAGTTAAAATAACTGAATAATCCTGCATATACTTATGGGCTAGGCATAAATCAGAGATATATCTTTCCATTTAATAGGTCATTATGTAACTGTGAATGAAATGAGCAAGTTATATTGTTGTTTGATATTCTTGTTTTTCAAGGAAGAACTTAAAATATTAATAGTTTTAACTTCATGTTGCAGATTCTGTTACAGATTATTATAATCTATTAGCCTAATTTATCCACTTAGAGATCCATACTGATACTTAAAGGATCACACAAAATTGCACCTCAAATACATCACTAGTGATAAATGGAGTTAGAAAATAAAGAATATTGTACTGACTAGGGATAGACAACCACAATGCATCCTTCTGATGTATAAAACCAATCTGCCTATGTTGTGCAGTTTGAAAGTCCAAAAGTCCAAAAGAACTGTTGTTTATCCAGGAACAAATTGAATTTTCTGTTGTTGTTGTTGTTTGTTTGTTTAGATTTTATTGATACCCTTCTAGCTAGACAGTCCTAGGCTTCTTCTTGAAGCCTCTTTTCAGGTTTTTTGGGTTCTCAAATCCCTTCTCATTCATAGAACATGAAATATTCCTTATTTATATCTTTATCTCTAGTTTTGCTTTCATTAGATTCATGATCCTGATTTCAAAGCTCTATAACAATAAGGAAAAACTCCTCCGCTCATCTCATACACCACAAATAGGTGAGATGAAACTGTTTAAGGAGAGACAGCAGAGATGATTTTTTTTCAAGGGTTGTATAAGGATGTGGTAGTAGCTGTTTTGTTTTTGTTCTGATTGCAATGCACATTGCTTTGACATGTCAGACAAATAAAGCTCATAAAACTTCTCATCAAAAGTTTATTTCAGCAACAGAGAAACCACCAAGAAGAATTCAATTCAGATGTTAATTCACAAGCTGAAGAAGGTTCTGGGGTAAGAATCTATAGAATATTTTCCATTAGAACAGCAATCCATTTTTGTTGTTGTTCAGTATATGTATTAGAAGCATGATGTAGAGGAAGATCTGTCAGTAAAAGTATTATGAAAAGACGAAATAAATGTTATCTTTAAAGTAATAATTCAGACATGGATTAAGGTATTTCTTATCACTGGACCATATCTGTATTTATGTGCAAATGTATATTTATGCATGTATATTCTACTTATTGTTGTACATCAGCAGCAGAATCAACATCAATTTTGTTTTTCAACTGAACTCATTTTTTCTCCAAAGTATAGATATCCAATGTGTGACAACGTCTGGCTTAAAGATGCATTGTTCATAATGATTTCCCTGGAAGTAATATTATCTGGTCAAAAAGAGGGAAAACAAACTACCTATCAGATTCTAATGGGCAGAGGTTAGTGTAACATCTGCCCTCTCTATTTTCTACTTGTTTCTGAATTCGTGTACAGCATTCCTCTGTCCCAAAAGTTGTTCAAGCATGTAACTGCAGTATACCAATGAGTTGAATCCTCTTTTTTCTTTCTTTTTTTTTCCAGCTGATATTATGACAAATTGTTTTTCAGCTGCTATTTGAGAGTCTTTTTTCTAGCTTTGTTAAGAGTGAGTAAAGTGGCTAGAGACTGTGCATTAGAGTCTTCTGGTTACAAGAAGTCAGTGATAATGAGCAATTTGTGAAGTGTGATACCTACGCTCTAGTATCAGAAGTAATATTATCCAATGGATTTTTCAATTGGTACAGCAGCTTCTTTACTCCTCTTTCATTTTTCCTTTGCTGGTGGCACTAGCTTTTTTTTTAGCCACCATCATTTTTAATCCTCTTTTATAACAGGCATCAACTAGTACTCAGCTTGTATGTCTACTATAATCCCTTTCTATGGATTCCAGACATAAAGAACTTCCAACTCAGCAGAAGTTCCTGCCTGCAGACCTGAAGGCTGCAGAAAACTAAGTTATTATCTTAGTTTCAGTTCTGCAGACACTGGAAGAAATTTTGAGCAAATTGGAACCAAAACTAATAATGAATTTTATTTGATCACTAGTTACACTAATAACTTCTTACTTGGTCTTTTTTCTGATGTAATTTACTAGGCCCCTTGTGAGGGAAGGAAAATGTAAGCAAAACAGTAGATCTGGTTGCTTAGAAAGAAGAATCCACTGACCAACAGAACACTTTTTTCAAATGAAACCTTTTATCATAACAAAAATATAGAAAAGGAAAGTGGAGTGAAGTGGTAGTGAGTTAGTGTTGAGTTCCATAGTACCGTGACCTTTAGTTCATGATCAAAGCCAGTATAGTTCAATGACTTCTGAGAAAGTTATGGGTTGTTCTGATCTTAGCATATACATTTGCAATACCAAAAGAACAACATCACAGTTGACATTAATGGACTCTGCATTACTTTTGCTCTTGCACCTTGAACAAAGATGCCAAGGACTAAGTGAACTTAGAGACTGAACCAGTTGATGATTACATGAAGTTTGCAATTACAGAGTTTGCAGTTCTCCATGGAGGACAAAAATTTAAATAAATAAATATTTATAACCATTTGGCTATGTGAAATGCCAAGGTACTTAATCTAATGATTTTTTTGATTTCATTTTGTAGTTTTGTAGGACCTTATTTCTTTATGTGGCATATTCACTTTCTGGCATATGCACATTAGTTTGCGAACGGCAGAAATGCACAGTGAGGTGTCGTGGTTTAACCCGGCCGGCAGCTAAACACCACGCAGCCGTTCGCTCACCCTCCCCCCTCCCTCTCTGGGACGGGGGAGAGAAATGGAGAGTGAAGCCCGTGAGTTGAGATAAAGACAGTTTAATAAGACAGGAAAATAATAATAACAAAAATAATAATAACAATAATAATAATAATGATACAATGGTGATAATACGAAAGTAATAGTATGTACAAACAAGTGATGCACAATGCAATTGCTCACCACCCGCTGACCGATGCCCAGCCTAACCCCGAGCAGTCCGGCCCCCTCCCCCCAGCTAGCCACCCCTATATATTGTTTAGCATGACGTCAGATGGTATGGAATACCCCTTTGGCTAGTTTGGGTCACCTGTCCTGGGTCTGTCCCCTCCCAGCTCTTACTGCACCCCCAGCCTGCCCGTTGGCAGGACAGAGCAAAAGGCTGAGATGTCCTTGGCTTAGTATAAGCACTGCTCTGCAACAATTAAAGCATCGGGGTGTTATCAGCACTCTTCTCATCCTAAGCCAAAACACAGCATTCCACCAGCTACTAGGAAGAAAATTAATTCTGTGCTAACTGAAACCAGGACATGAGGATACACAGGACTGCGCTGGGAACAATATTTTACAAAATTTGCAAATGCTGCAGCATGCCTGAAAAGGTTAACTGATGCTGCCTTGTTGTGCAGCGTTAGTTGAGAGGCAGAACACACCCACTATGGCAGGAGTTTGAGGGAGGGGAGGGGAAGAAAGGATTAAGGATTAACAAATTGTTATTTATGCTTTGCTCAACCCCTGCTGACTTCAGACAATTGGTCTCCTGAGTGATTTTCATATGGGGTACTCCTTGCTCTTCTTTTCTGATTACTGATGCAGAAGTTCTCAACAAATAAGCAGAAGGTATGAGAGAGAATGAGGAAGGATATTTCCACAAAGAAAGACTGAGATACTGAAGACAGTGTTCTGAGGTGAGCCACCTGGCTGCTTGCTCACTGTCCATCCTCAAGAGGACAGGGGGAGAATATAGGATGAAAAACCTGATGGATTGAGACAAAGTCAGGGAGCTTGCTTACCAATTACCATCTCAGGAAAAACAAATTTGACTTGGGAAAAATTAATTTAATTTATCGCTAATTAAAATAGATTTGGGTAGCGAGAAACAAGAACATAAAAACATCTTTCCTCCCCACTCTCACAGTCTAGACATCTCATTCACACCAGGCACCAGGTGGGGCACGCTGTATCACACCTCTGAGTGGTGCACAGTGACAAGGGGTTATGGTCAGTGTATAACAGTTTCTCTCTGCCTGTCCTTCCCACTCATGCTTTTCCCCTGCTCTCCACAGGCCACATTTTCTTCAGGAAATATTCACATACTCCAGCATGGGGTCCTGCACAGGCTCCAGTGTGCACATCTGGAGTGCCTGGAGTACTTCCTCCTCCTCCGTCTCTGTCCTTGGTGTTCGCTCTGCTGTTTCACCTGTTTGGCATGAGCTGAAAAGGGAAACAAAAAGCATAGAGTGGCAGCAAGAGGAGCAGAGTAAGGTCAGACTATGCAGAGAGCATGGGAGGCTCTCTTACAATAACTATAATTAACCCATATTTTGTTTTCACCCACAAACATACACATGCTTTATGCTTATATATGTTTAATTCTGATTGTGTTTCTTCAAACCTTATGTATTTATTTAATTGTATGCCTCTATCCTTGTGTCTGCTCCCCCAGTTCCTTCATTAATTTTCTCATAAACAGATGATGCACAAGCATTTTTATATGGAACTGAAGGCAAACAATCTGTCAGTGAAGGTGCAGTGTATGCATAACTGATAAGTGAAGGCATTTACAATGAGATGTAGGAAGTCAATGGCTCTGGAAGTTCTGACAGCAAACCATAACACATACAGAGCAATCAGGTATGAAACAAAAGCACCAAATGAATGGAAGAAAAGTGATTGTATCTATACAAAATGTTGAAATTAAATGCATTATGTGTAAATATACACAACATAATATAATCGTGTAATATAATATATGATGTATATACAGTATGATATTTGATACTGTGACAGAGCTCTGTCACAGATTGCCCACAGAGGTTGCGAAGTCTCCCTCTTTACAGATATTCAAAAGCCATCTGGTTGTGGTCCTAGGCAACTGGTTCTGCTTGAGCAGGGTCCCATCCAACCTCAACCATTCTGTGATTCTATGACAAGAATGTAAAAACGTTGAGAACCCAGACTATATATACTGCATAGCTGCAGGAAATCCTTTCTTGCTCTTATACCTTTCTGTTGTTGCCTGTTTTATGAGGTCTCAACCTTCACATGGACTTCCAGACATTTCTTCAGTGAAAACATCAGCTAATACAGACTTAGTCAGACTATTACTTGACTAATCCTAACTGACAATATTACTAAAGCTCACTTTGCATATCTGGTTAGCAATTTCCTTTTGTTTCAGTGTGGTACTTCTCAAAAGGAAGTACCTTTCATATTTTTTTATTTACTCTTTTTTTTTTATATAATGATACATTAACAAATTTTGATATTCAAAAAAAAAAAAAAAGGATATAGAAAGACATATTTACATAAACATTCATTACATAACAACTTATTGATAGCTAGTTGCAAGTTTATTTGTCATAAATTTTTATTTTGATTTTTTAAGAGCAAAACCAGAAGGTATTTTAACAAGAATTTTGGGTTGATTAAAAGGTATCTGTTTTGTTGTTCTGTGTTTGCTTCCAGTGAGAGTTGAATCAGCTTGGAATAATCAATGATTTCAAAAAAATATATATATATAAAATTGTAATGCTAGGAGGAGACAGAGAATGTTGGGGACCGCATTTGTCAGAAATTCAGTGTAAAATACTGAATGAGATAGGAAAGAGATGAGACAGATGTGGACCTTTCATTGAGTTACTTGTACAATGCCTACAGTTGAAGTAGAAGTAGAAACTTCAACTGTAGTTGAAGTTGAAACTTCAAAAGTGGTAACATTAAAACCAGAACTTTCTGCCATTTAGCATACCAGAATATTATATAAAAGTAAGATACATCGTCTGTTCCAATAGCTGATCCAAATCAGAGAAAGCAGATAGGTCTCTGTCATTCCCAGTGGTGGGATTCTTGCCATCCATTGGCTACAGAAGGAGTTTAAAGCTGTGCAATAGATCAAATGAGCTAACTTTATTTATTACCTTATTGACCCATCCCATGTTGAAATGTTGAATTCTTTAAAGAGAACAAGCTTTTTCATCTTATCCCACTAGCATACTAGATGATTCAAAATAATGTCCTTTTTGTGGCCATTCTCAACAAGCACTATATTGATAAGTCTAAGAGAACTGAGATTTAACTGTATGGATCTTTGAGTATCTCCTTTAGGACAGTCAGCTTTGAGCATACACTGGATTTCCTGGGAGCTTCCAAGATTTTTTTTAGAGGGGTTTAAATAGTTGTTAAATTGGTGACTGTTCCAACAAATATCTGAATGTTGATTAGTTTTGTGTTTCCATAAAGATAGTATGGAAAGATGCATAAACACTACAGGGAGAAGCTCCTCTTCCATGTACTAGGATTTTGTTTGTTTGTTCATTTTTTTATTTGTTTGTTTAGCTTATTAAAGATAGAAAACTATGAAATCCGGTGGAAAATTGGTCTGTATTCTTATCAGCCTGAAAAGGACAAGTGAACATGGATTCAGAAACCACTTCCTGAAGGTACAATTTAAAAATTATATCAGCAAATTTTGCTATAGAAAGAACAAGATATGTCTCACAGCCACAGTAACTCTCAGTAGCAAACATTTAAATGCCAGCAAATTAGGAACAGACATTTAAAGCAGGCATCACTGAACACATGATGAGTTGGGGTTGTTTGTTTTTGGTTTTGTTTTTTGTTTTTTTGATTGTTTGTTTGGTTGCTTTGGTTTGATTTGGTTTGGTTTTTTTTTGTTTTGTTTTGTTTTTTCATTTTTCTTCCTGAAGAAGAGTAACACTAAATTTGCGACAAGTACCTTATGGGAAAACAAATCTGTTCTAGCAGCGTGTACCACTTCTGGAAACTGAATGAAAATTTTTGGAGCCAAGGGATTCAATGTATATTGGCTTTATTGGTTTTATTTCTTCTTCGCTGGCAAGCAAATGTAAATTCTACTGTCAGCAGCATAGTATAAGGAATGTTAAACACTTGAGCTGAATAGAAAAGTAAATTGCATCACTGCTATACTCACTGTTTTTATGATTACTTAGGGGTTACATAATAATGAATTTATAAAGGTAAAAAGAGTCAGTGCTTTTACTTCCAATAAGAATATTTTAAAAGCAGTAACAGCACAATAAAAATCTTAGATATTCTTCTGTTTAATTTCAGTTTCACTTACAATTCAAAAGTTTGTGTGTACTCAAACAAACTTTATTTACCTATCAGTCTATCTTTCCCTCCTTTCCAACAGTTGTAGTTCAAGGAGAGTTTGGAGGAGAGTCAGGAATACCTAAGACCTAAAAGGCAAACAGATGGCTTTTTTTCCAAGTGCCAGAAGACATAATGTGTCTTTCCACAGATACACAAGCAAGGAAAAAAAATAAGCTAACTGCAGCCTGTACCAGTTTCTGCCCAAATGCTAATGGTAATCAATATAATTTTACTAGAAAAGTAGTGTAGGAGTAAATGCAGCTATACTTGTGAAGTTGTGCTTCTTAATTTTGTAAAGCACAATGTGTTACAAAAATGTAACATATCTATATGTATGCATTACAGGTTTCAGTCACCCTATGTTAAGAGATTTCAAAACTTCTCCATATTTTACATCTTACTCCGTGGTACACCTACCCCCAGAATGTATATCTACCTCCAAAATATACATCTAGCTATGACATTTTCCACAGATGTTGTGAGAATTGAAGTATTTGTGTTCTCACTCTGAGAAACTAAGTCACAGAGAGATACATTTAAATGCAATATATTATTCTTATTATCAAAGAATGAAGTATTGGAGGAATTTCTGTTGAAACAGTTGCTTCCATGACAACAGGAACATCATAAAGATTTTGAGCAGGACTGGTGGCACCACCTATTGTTAAGGTTAGCCTGTGGTTCATATTTTCAGTTGATTATGACTCTACTTAGGTTCAACAGTCACTACTCAAATTCTCCATGTTGAGTCTACAGCTAAGGATAGATGTATTTTCTTTTTTACTCCTCCAATAAATGTTCAGTCATACAGATCTTCTATTCCCAAGAAAGTGTCTAATGACACAAAACAAACAAAATACTGTTAGTGAAAAATCTGCAGTGCTATATATTTTGGAACTGAGATTTTAGCAAAGCCTGTCAAGAATATGTCATTGCTTACCCCATTAAAATCTTCAAATTTACCCTAGGTGTAAGCCTCTGAAAAGCTTTCATATGATCATCACCACAAAACTGCTAACACTGAAAGCTGTGTGGAACTGACTGAATCTTTCCTTGGATAACTACTATTGTCTGGATCTTTTGACAGCCATACTAAATTTAGGAAATTCACTTTCTTAGGCTACACTTAAAAAAAAAAAAAAAAAAAAAAAAAAAAGCAGCCTTTTTCAATGCAGAGGAGACAGAACTAGACTTGAAATAAGCTGGAAAGAAGGACATAGGAAATGGAGCTAGGAACATGATGGACAAACAATCTTGGGCTCACAGCTCACATTTTCGTGGGGAGCATGGGACTAAAAGATTGAAAGAGAAGAGGTCACTGGGTGGGCAGAAAGCTAAAACATTGAACTGGTGATGGAAAACAGAAATTACAAGGAAAGATCTAAGTATAAGCAGAATAAAAAAAATGGCAATGACTCGTGTGCAGAAAAGGTATTTGGGTGAACCCTGACAGATGCACAGAGACCCCACTAGAAAGAGTGAATGAAGCAAGTGAAATAAGATGAGCTGGAGGAGAAGACTGGTGCAGACAGAAAGGCAGCTTGGTTAATGACCAGATTAGAATGGGAGAAACTAGGACTGTAAACCATCATAGCAAGCCAAATAGACTTTTATTCATATTTTGGTGGTGAAACACACACTGTAAGACTGAAAAGTCTGTGGTTTCTGTAGTTGTGTGGTTGTAGTGGGTTTACATGGCAAGGTTTTGGTAGCAGGGGGCCATAGGGGTGGTTTCTGTGAGAAAGATCTAGAAGCTGCCCCATGTTTGGGCAAGGACAAACAAGGACAGAGCACAGCACTGTATGGGCTGCTGTAGGAAAAGTTAACTCCATCCCAGCCAGACCCAGCACAGGTAAATGAGTTTTTCATGCAGCAGGTTGAGTTCCTCCTTTTCTGGATGTACAGATAATTCCATGAAAAACTAAATGCCAAACTGCAGGATGCCTGCAGCTGCAGTTGAAGATGCAAGGAACGGTACTACAAACTGGAGGACTAAGTACTCTAAAAATAAGTTTCTTGTTACTCAAAGCAGTCTCAGATTTATCACATGATGCATCTCAGTGTTCCAGTCATAAAATGAGGATAATTCTCTCTCTTCACCTTTCCAAATAAATTCACTAATATGTTGTAAGGTAGTCAAATGACATAAAAATATGGCTGATGTAAACGAAGTTAAAATTAGCAAGCTTGTTAACAAACCTGTTCACAGCAGAATTTTGCTAGTGTGAACTGAATAAGACATGGGCCATATATTGAACAATCCTCTGCAATGAACAAGACAGGAATCCTTTGGAAAACATAGCCAGCATTCATGTAATTGAAAACAGTATTGAGTGAGGCAACATCAATAAGGATGTGGAAACTGGGAAAACAAAAAAAACAAGTTACAGTTGAATACTTATTTAAAAGCAGATTATATTTAAGATTTATATTATTTATAGATTTATATTTATTATATTTTAGATTTATTGTTACTATAAACAAAGCTAGGTAAAAATAATGTACTACACATTTAAATATATTCCTTTTTAAAAGAGTGTCCTTCCAGAAAAAGTCATATTGGCAACACAGCTATTGATGTAATTAACACTTGTATATTAAAGATATTTTCAAGATATTTACAAATGTCAAAACTTTTATTCATTTAATGGCTTTTTTAAGCATAATTTTTCTTTGACACTTTTAACTCTGGATCTATTTTTTAGACATTATTAGATTTACTTTTGCTGCAGTTAGGGCCAGTTACTCAATAGTATTACCCTCCTTTAAAATCTAGTCCCAACCAACTGCCTTTGAAGATCTAGGCTTCAATGTTCCAAAAATAAACCATTTGCTAGAAAAAATCAGTGCAGTTAAGCTTGTGAACAGACCTTTCACAAAAGCAAAGATTTATTCACCTGTGCTTAGGTAGGGCTAAGTGCTAGACATGAAATAATTGATTTATGAATTTTACAGCCATCATAATACTGGGATTGTTATATGCCAGCTTGCAAATATTGTATTATCAACAGCCTTTGCATCCTCAGTTTTTTCAATGTTGATAGCTTTATACATCTCTACCAATTACTTTTCAAACACAGTTCACAGTAATTTATTAATATTATTTAAGAATGTGTAGGAATGAACTACAGTAATGATTTTTGAAAAATATTAGAATATTATAAAGAAAAATATTTTAGTATAAATGGATTTTTTAATTATTTATTTTGAACTAGGGATGACTAATTTAAAAGGGAAAAATAGTGACAGATTGATTTCTTTTCAGAAAGAAGGCATGTGTCCACACTTATTATTTTTTTTTAATGAAACTATATATTTTTTAAAGTCCAGGCTATAAATGGTAGTTTAAACCAGAAAGAGACATGTAATCAAATGAAGACTATAACATAGAAATGATTAAGTGTTAGGGATGCATTTTCTGGAATTTTCTGAGGTATCTGAAAAGATCAGTGTGAATTAATTATGCTTGGAGTGACAAATTGAGCCCTTCTGAGAAAACGTCTGATTATGGCTGGTTGTAGGCATGAGAAATATGAAGGTTAAGATGATAAACTTGGGGAATAATATTAAATTCTGTTACAAGATCACATGCATAATTAGGTTATGACAGAAGAGTAATACGGAGAAACAGAGTATGGAGTAACAGAGAAACAAAAGGGAGGCAAGTCTAGAAATTAAAGTTTGTGAAATAATGCTTCACGTCTGATTTGAAAAGAGTTTTCTTCAAGCTCCCTTCAAGCTTCTGATGGCAAATGCATGTGTATTTTTTCCCCTTTATCCACAATTTGGCACTCTGAAAGATGAGGCCCTAGGGGGACACCAGTACTGGGGCCAGATCCCTTCAATAACTTTTCTGTGATCTGGACAAGGGGGCCGAGTGCAGCCTCAATAAGTTTACAGATAATACCAAGTTAGGCACAAGTGTTGATCTACTCAAAGGTAGATCTGCAGAGGGATCTGGATAGGCTGGATTGATGGGCCGAGGCCAACTGTATGAAGGTTCATCAAGACTAAGTGCCAGGTCCTGCACTTTGGCCACAACAACTCCAGCACTCCAGGTAGAGTGGCTGGAAAGCTGCCCAGTGGAGAAGGATCTCGGAATTTTGGTCAATAGCAGGCTGAATATGAGCCAGTAGTGTGCTCAGATGGCCAAGAAGACCAAGGGCATCCTGGCTTGTATCAGAAATAGTGTGACCAGCAGGACTAGGGAAATGATTGTCCTCCTTTACTCAGCTCTGGTGAGGCCCCACCTTGAATACTGTGTTCAGTTTGGGGCCCTTCACTACAAGGACATCAAGGTGCTGGAGCATGTCCAAAGAAGAGACTTGTCTTATGAGGAGCGGCTGAGGGAACTGGGGTTGTTTCACCTGAAGAAAAAGGAGGCTCAGGGGAGACATCACTCTCTACAACTACCTCAGAGCAGGTTGTAGCAAGGTGGTGATCAGATTCTTCTCCCAAGCAACAATTGATAAGACAAGAAGAAATGGCTGCAAGTAGCACCAGGGGAGGTTTAGGTTGGGTATTAGGAAAAACTTCTTCACTGAAAGGGTTGCGAGGCATTGGAACAGGCTGCCCAGGGAAGTAGCTGAGTCACCATCCCTGAAATTCGTAATGTAGTGATGGAAAACGTAATGTAGTGACGTAGTAATGTAGTGATGTAGTGCTTAGTGACATGGTTTAATGGCAGACTTGGCAGTGCTAGGTTAAAGGCTGGAACAGATGATCTTAGAGGCCTTTTCCAACCTAAATGATAGAGGTTCATCTTAATTCTAAAGCATAAGATACAGGTGTTTTAGAAGCAGGAGGTTTCTCTTGCACCACTGGTATTTTTCAATAAGACAAATCAGCAGAAAAGTTGTCAGAAATAAATTTGACTATACATGATTAGCAGAAACTGCTGAATTTGAAGATATTGGAAAACCAGAACCTGCTACTGAGGCATCTTTCCTCTGAAGTAAAAGTATTCATACCCCTAGTATCGTGAATAGCCTAGAAGGCCAAAGTTTTGAGTCTTCTGAAATTTTACATTGAAAGTACAAAATTTATTATAAATTTTTGAGGTATATTTCATGCTTTGCAGTATGTGATAGTGTACAAGGTCCCTGACATTTAATTGTAATTTTTTACTCTCACCTCCTGTCACCTTCTGTTACTGGGAACAGAGCTGAAGGATGCTGAATGTCTCAGGTGGGGAAAAAAAAAAAAAAAACTTTTTTTTTTCATTTTCTTCTTTATTTGGTACATATAGGTGCAAGACAATAGTTGACTGTACTTTAAATGTATGTATTTTATTAATATATATATATTTATATATAAATAAAATTAATTATTATTGATATATATTTTTTATATTTTTTTAATATATTTTATTTCTGTATTAAGAAGACAAAAACAAGTATTGACTTCACTTACCTCAATAAAATCATAGAATATCCCACGTTGGAAGAGACCCACAAGGGTCATTGAGTCCAACTCATGGAAAGATTCATTATCTTGATTTGATTAATATTGATGGAATTGTCTTCATCCAGCCTGGATATATTTATTTTTACCTGAGGTTTAAATCAGGTAAGACTGTCCCAAATGTTAGTACTTTCCATCTGTGAACAAGTAAATACTTATAAATAAATATAGTATTTTTATTTACATTCATTATATTCACAGTATTTATATAAAATGGATTTTTATATGGGCAACAAAAGACACCAACATTAAAACAACGTACTTCCTCACCAGTCTTCTAGGCTCAACTTCACTCCTTCACTCACAACTCCCCTATCTCAGAAGCACAGAGGCAATAGCTGGTACTTGGCAGTTTCTCCCTGTCAATCTATCCTCCTCACACTCTTCCTCTGCTTCAGTGTGGGTCCTCCATCAGCTGCAGCCCTTCTGTTACATCTGTTCCAGAGTGAGGTCCTTCACAGGCTGCAGGCAAATAGCTGTTCTGCCATGGAACTCCTCCCTCTCTCTCCTCCAACACTGTTGTTCCCTCTGCTGTTTCTCAAACCTCTTGCTCCCTCATCTTCTCTCTGTTTAGCATTTCGTTCCCCTCTTAAACATCTTTTTCCCAAAGCATGGGTGGCATGCCCAGCTGTGCTGTGAGGTGTCTGTTGGAGTTGGCTAGAACCAGCTGGAACCAGCTGTGTCCAGCATGGGGCAGCCCTGGCATCTCATCACAGAAGCCATCCTTGCAGCCCCCACTGACAGCAGCTGAGCACACGTAAGCGTAATGTGGAGGAAGCTCAGTGCAAAACTTTAAGAACTGTTTAATGAAGAACACAGAAAAGCAGGAGGGAGAAAAGAGAACAAGAAACCTCTCATTCTATTTTCATTACTAGGTGGCAAAATCACACTCATATTTACTATTAAAAGTTGAAGGATTAGCCTCAAGTTCCAGCTACCTTAAAATTGCATTCATTGCTGAGGCAGCCTATTTCCATTTTAGATCTACAGTCAACATGCTTTTAGGAAGATATCTTCTGATCTTAATCAGTGTGCTGAGTCAGAGCCATCATAATTTTCTGCTGCCTTTTTTTTTTTTTTTTCTGTAAAACACAATTTTGAACCATCCTGTCTTTGTTGGGGAGATATTACCTACAAACCTTATAATTATGTAAAGCATAGGATATAATTCAGTTCACAAGCCTATGCTTAAAATGTAGATATTTAAAACATCCCAAAATTATAAAAGCTTAAGCAAATTCCCATATGTTTTCAAAACAACCAAAGTGAGCATTTTGGTATTTCAGTCATATTGGGCACTGCTAATACTTGATCTGAACTCTGTAATTATGAGGAATTTGTTTTTGTGCTGCAGTCCTGATGCTATATTGTGCAGCATTATTTTCAGAACTGGAAATATACTATTTCATTATTCTATTTCATAATTCTAAGGAAGATAAAATGTGCATTCTGTACTGTTCAGGTAGCTTTACATACCTATCTGGTCAAACAGAGAAGCTTTTCATAATTGGCTCAAATAACAATGAAATGTTGCTTTTAGATGTGATGGAGGGAGTGAAATGATGTCAGCAACAGTTATTTATTTCTAAATACAATAGTTTGTGACAACGAACATATTTTAAAGCAAAGTGGGACATAAAAGAAATATATACATGACCTCTATGATTTCTTTTCCTATTAACTTCTTTTGACAACTTATTTTAAGCATCAATAAAAGGAAAATAGTTCTTTTTTATTATTATTAAGATGCAAGGTTACAGATTATATTTATACCTCTATTTCATTTTACCATTTTATTTTTGAGGCATCTTTAGAAGTTTTTATTTCGTTCGAAGTATTATATAGTTTGGATGAATTATATTCTTTTTGCAATGATTCCTTACTTTAATTTCTGTTTGATTTCCCCTAGGCAGATATTTGTTTTCAAATTCATGTATCTGAATGTTAAGCAATATTCTAATGCAGTTTTCATTTGTCACTCTTTTCATACCTTGCTCATAGTTACATTATTCTTTCTCAGCCTGTTCCAATACATGTAATCTTGAAAGCTTCTTTGATCCCAGAAAGAAGTTTGTTGAAGCTTATCAGCGTGGATTTGGAAGATATGTGTAACCAAACTCTACACGTGATTCAAATCTGTATCTGTGTGCTTACTTAACCACCTGACTCCACTGCCCTCAGTAAAAAGTTTAATTTTTAGCACTGTGACAGAATATGCATCATCATAGCCTTATTTGGATAAAATATATATTTTAGAATAATTTAAATCCTTTTACTTTCTTATTAGAGCATAACATTTTTTTACTTGTATTTCCTGTGATCACCTGTCTTTTGTCAATGAATGGTCATAATCATTAACAAGTTGTAGAGGCATAGACCTTTAAAAAAGAGGGCATGCCATAATATTAAAATAATTTGACATTTCGTAGCATCTAAAATTGCTGTCGATTATGAATCATAATCAGTGATTTTAAAGATGGTATCAAACTTATCTGAGAAATATGTGAAATGTTTTCTAATTAAGAATTAGAAAATTTAGGAAGTATTTTCATTTTTAGCCTTTTTGCCTTATTATGCGATCTCCAGAATAAACGCAAGAGGTACAACATGCTCTTTGTATCTTCTGGTTAGAATATTTTTTTTCTGTGTTTCTGGCATTCAGATTGCTGTCAAAATTTCATGTGACATTATTTCTAATAATTTTAAAATACAACTAGCAGTGTCAAAAATATTGTTACTGTACTGCTAACTTAGCAAAGAGAAAAAACTTCAATAGAGATATGCTAGTAATTAATTTGTCTTAGCTACTTGCTATCAGAAAGTTTTCTACACAAAGAAAGTAAGCATAAATTGTGTATAATTATTTTATAATATGTACACAATATCTATATGAAGTCCAAGATCAGTTTGTAAACTCCTGGATGTACAGAAAAGACTTTTAATGAACACTTTGCAATCCTAAGTAATGCAATTAACTGATTACTGGGAGCAATTACTTAGAGATGTAAATATGTACTACTTTGTGAGTTTATAAGCTTGCCTTTATAAATATTAAATCACATAAGTTCTATCTTCAAGCTAACTTAAATGCATTAAAAGAAAATTCAGAACTGATCTGGAAACTATGTGTTGCTTCATTGTTGTTAGATATTTTAGACTGTAGTATAAAATATGTTTTCTATAGGGCAAGCAGCAGTAGATCTCTGAATATGCTATGTTCATGACTTGCATTTTGTACCTTTTAGTTTTATTTCAATATTTTGCTCCAATAATTTTCACTGAAATGTTTTTTGGCAACGAGTACAACTGACTTTAAAAATGCAATATATGCAAAAAAGCATAAAAGCTAGGAGATGCTAAATTTCCTTTTTACATATTTTCATGGTATGGTTTGATTATTAGTGTGAATAGATAGGATAGGATAGGATAGGATAGGATAGGATAGGATAGGATAGGATAGGATAGGATAGGATAGGATAGGATAGGATAGGATAGGATAGGATAGGAGAAATTCTTAGAATTAAAGATAAGAACCTTAAAAAGAATTGACAGACAATGGGAGAGCTAGATAGAAATTATCTTCTGTATCACAAGAGTAATATGGTGTACAGATAGAGAGATTTCAGAGAAGTAAGTTAAAGAAAAGCAGAACTGGATGTCTTCCAATAAAGACAAAAAAAAAAAAAAATCAAAAACAACAAAAAGGCAATTTCTACTAATAAATAAGGAATCAACTAATGGATAAGAATATACTCATGCTTGGGTTCAAAACTGAATTGAGAGATAGCTACACTACTAAGTCTACACTCTAGACTTAGAGTCTGATCCTTTTTTTTAGGAATGTCTTAACAATTCATGTCAATAAAGAACAGTCCTGTCTGCCTCTGGGTCCTGGAGTATGTGGTTAAATTTTGTCAGCATCTGGAACAAAGAATTTACATGAGATCCCTTACTATTTACTAAACCACATGAGGTCTGCTGGTAAAACAGCAACAATAATTGACAAACGCAGTAAAGCAACATGCTGTGCAAACACACATTAATGACACCTTGACTTACCAAAGTGCATTCAGAATACTTTGTTCCATGGCCTGTCAGGACTTTGTCTGTGATCAAGACAACTAATTTCTTTAAATTTCCACTTTACAGACATAAAATATTTAGTCAAAATATTTCTAGGCTTTTAATATTTCATGCATTCATCAATACATGGGAGATGTGCAGAAGCAGAGCTTATAGAAACAGTTTCTTTGAGTAACACGTAAAAACTTTTAAAATATTTGTAATATCTATTGTTCTTAGAAAATATTGAAGGCAAGTTTTAAAAGAGATATAACAGTACTGATTGAACTATTTAAACAATTTTTTTTCATAGGGAGGCAATACTTGTTAAAGAGTGTAATTATAAAATTATTTTGTAATGGTAATTTATATTAAAAAAACATTCATTGTGATAATTTAAATTAATATTGAGTAGTGTTCTCAAATCAAGTGGTCTCAAAGAGTGCTAAACTATGTGTTCTGTATAAGGCATGTGCTTAATTTCTTTTCTGAAACAGTTGTAATAAACCATTGTCTTTGACAGCAAAAAATAATTTCAAAATTTTCAAAATTTCAAATAAGAATTACCTGCACTGAAGATTTTGATTTTAAAAATCTTAAAGTGTTTAAAAATATTTTAGATTTACCTTCACTAGAAACATCATATCTGAGTAAAAACACATTGATTTTTAAATGTTCTTTTTAAATAAGAATTCATAGTTAAAACTATTTATGATAGATCTAGAAGCTAATGTGTATTCATAAGAGGAAATAAAAGTTTTTGTTTTGTAATAAAATGAAATGTTAAAATGGAAGGAAGGAAGGAAGGAAGGAAGGAAGGAAGGAAGGAAGGAAGGAAGGAAGGAAGGAAGGAAGGAAGGAAGGAAGGAAGGAAGGAAGGAAGGAAGGAAGGAAGGAAGGAAGGAAGGAAGGAAGGAAGAGAAAGGTTAAAAAAATAAATTGACCAAGTCAAAATATGTGATCCACAGATATCTTTGGAATGGTAAAAAAGTGTGAGTATTCTTGCTGTTGAAACTATATTGACCTCAAGTTTTCTGCTGACATAAGTTATACTTTTTTGTTTTGCCTGCTAGAGCCAAACACTTGTTTCTATGTATAGTCTTGGAGCCAAAAAGAATGCACAGCTCGTGTAATACACTAAGTGCTATCTCCAGTCAGGAAGTCCCTCCTGTGATATTTAAGTGCCAAAAAAAGATGATCTGCAAAGTGAAGACAAGTACATAGAATTCCTGAGTATCTAAAACTGCCAACAAGACAAATTGTTTTTGTAGTAAGTGCCTAAGAAACCCATTAGTACCACTTCCACTTGGAAATCAGAATGAATGCAACATAAGAGCACAGTCTGTATATAAAGCAAGCCTATGGCAGACAATGACATTGTTGGCACCTGCAGCATAAACAAGGAAATTGAGAAAAACTGTCCTGGTTTTGAAGATAGCTAATTCAGTGTTATTAAAGTGAACAGCAACTGTGTCTGGATTCAGTTTACAATTACATACACACAGAAACATCAAATCCACTGCACATCAGTAGCCTAGTATTCAAGACAGTATATTCTGAGCTTCTACTCTTTAACTTATGCAGCATATTTTCAAATGAATAAATGTCAGCATACAACAAATGCTTTCAGATTCAGTGGATAAATACCTTTGCCTCATGTCTCTGGTAATCAGGTCAGTCAAGATATGTATAACACTGAAGATTGAGAAAACCTCCTATTCCTCTTTGGCTTGTATTTCACCTAACTTTCATAGTGATTTTATCTGTTCATCATTTACAAAATTCCTGATATTTAACAGTTAATTAGAAGTGAAAATTGATTACATTATTTTTTAGATAACTTCACATTATCTTCAATTTTAACTGGCTGAGAAAAGCCCACACTCATATTGTTCTCTATTTGTTTATGTATCTTCTTGTAAAGGTTCTTGATCACTTGGATAGATAATTTTTATATAAATTAAATTATCATTGCTGCTGTTTCAGCTGGTTTTGCTGACAGCTAAGAAGGATGTGATGTGTGTGTTTACGTTAAAAAATAATCTTAACAACTAGGAGAGTAATAAAATTCAAATTTTACCCTACAGAATTTTTCTCATTAATAACAATAATAACAATAGTAGCAATTAATAATAATAATAATTATGTTAAAGATCAGGCCTTTTTAGAGAGTTTATTTTTTTTCTCATTAAAAGTTTATCACCCCAAAATTTTCTAAGGAACTGAAAATCACATTATAGCCTTACTCTTTAAAGTTTTTGATTTTCATCTTAACATTCCTGGCATGCAAAAAATCTAAAAGAATCTAGAAAGACCAAGGTCCCTTAAATGAGCAAATAATATGTATTTAATTTTATTTCTTTATGCATTCCAACTCCAAAATCCAATGATTTTCTTTAAATTGAAAATGTCTTAGAAAATGAAAACATTTGGGTAATTTTTAATGAATTTACTTGTCTACAGATGTGGAAGAAAGGAAGAAGTAATATTCTATTTCACAGTTTGTAAGGCGTAAGCTGAGAAAATTATTGATATATGAGTCATCGAACAAATCTACAGTGAAGCCAGGAATACAGTTTACTTCTTCCAGTCTTGATATCTATCAAGATATTTATCAAGAGTTTTATCAAAGTTTTATCAAGAGTTTTAGAAAGGCTTTTTTGACATATATTATGAAATATATATATTCTTTTAGATTTATGCATATATTTATAATTATTACACTGCATAACACCATTTAAAAAAAAAAAAAAAAAGTGGTTTTACAATCAATGGCTTCTCAAAATGTTATTCACTCCTCGAATAATCATGAACACTAAAAGATATGGTCAATCAATAGCATGTGAAAGAAATCTCTACTGCAAGTAGCGTATTTGCTGTACTGACTCCCTGCTTTTGCTGCATATTTGTCAAGAGATGATAAACTACAAGGAGCTACACAACCACAAAAGAACACACAGCTAGGGTTAGTTTGCTCAAGGATTTTCCTGGTTGCCTTGTCTGCCACCTAGTGTCAAGCACGTTACTTTGACACTAGGCTTATTTATTTATCTGTTTTCTGATAAAAAGTAGTTTCTGCTTTTCTCTTACCTTTCTCCAGACTTCAGAAAACCTTTTAAAAATTCGACTTTTGGGAAGCCCATTTCAATGTGAAGTAAGCACAGCATCATTAGGCATAAAGAAACTCAAGGCTGTAACACGCAGAGGCTTTCCCTTCCTTTGCAGTAAAAAGCTGAATAAATTGATTTTGATCTGGTTGAAGCTGTTCTGTTCCTCGTAATGTCATTGTAATAAGCTCAAGAAGAGTCGCAATCCTCATGATCTCTGGCTAAAATAACCAAAATATTTCATACAGAATTTTGTGAAAGCATCCTTTTCATTGGACTGAGACTACACTTGTTATTTTGGTATCAGAAGTCTATAGTGCAAACATTAAATGAGGCTCCAACCTACCTGGCTTCCAAGCACAGGATCAGCCATCCTCAAAACATGACATCTGTAACAATTTCTTCATGTAAGTCTGCAGGCAATATGAGTATCCAAAGATCAGAATTTATCTTTCTTAAAAAACAATGTGATTTATTTGCACATACAAAGCATATTAATTGACAAAAACAAAACAAAACAAAATGCATACACACACTCTTCTGTCTAGTTTGGCATTTCCTCCACATGAAGACACAATTAATGCTGTCTCCATTTTGGACTGCTGCTAGACCCATTTTTTTACTGTGTTACTCAGATGCCTTTGCTGTCCATCTAACTGAGACTGCATCCACTGACAATTGCCCCACATCCCATCCTGCAGGACAGATCTGTTATCCGAGTGAGCCTTTTGTTTTGAACTGTATTTTTAACTGTTATACAGTGGTAAAGTCAGAGGCTCAACTTCCAACAGCTAAATAAGTTCAAAAGTGGGCAAATCAGGATTTTTTTGGTTGGTTGGTTGGTTGGTTGGTTGGTTGGTTGTTTTTTTATGTCATTTAAATCACCGTGACTAAACCCCGGACTGAATCATGCAGTCTTCATAGAAAAGAACATTTGTAAGCACAACTTCAATGATATTTGCTTGACTACACACAGCATGTAGTGCTAGTTCACTGCTAAGAGTCTCTATAAATACCCTTAAAGACTCACTCACAATATAGTTTCATTAGCCCAGCAAGACCACGGCTATGACTCTGCAGCTTTTGGTTTAGATTTAGTTTGCATCACTACAAATTAAAAATACATGCATGAAGAACTTTACAATATATACTATACTTCATAATATACACTATAATCTATAGATAAAGTATATATAATATACTTTATATAAAGTATATATATAAAAAGTATATATAATATATATTTTACAAGATATAAAAGATGCAGTTGTTTAGAATTTCTCCCTCTGAGCCTTTTCCTTTCCTTTCCTCTCCTCTCCTTTCCTTTCCTCTTCCTTTCCTTTCCTTCCTTTCCTTTCCTTTCCTTTCCTTTCCTTTCCTTTCCTTTCCTTTCCTTTCCTTTCCTTTCCTTTCCTTTCCTTTCCTTTCCTTTCCTTTCCTTTCCTTTTCCTTTCCTTTTCCTTTTCCTTTTCCTTTTCCTTTTCCTACTACTGTTAACAAAAGGAAATTAATATAGAAAAAGTAAACACATTAATGTTGTTTTAATGATTTGCCTTTAACCCACCAAAGTATGAAAATTCAAGGATAAGACTTGCAATAAATCTTTAACTTCTAACATAAAAGCACTGATTTCAAGAGTTAATAAAATTGCAATTATGAAGGCACAGGGGAGGTGTACTGTGGACATAGTCAAAGTTTTAATCCTAAATTTGTCTGGTTCTTGTGAATGTATTAGAGCTTTAAAATTTAACATCATTTCTATGTGTGTTATAAACATATGTGTTCTTGACCCATTTCATAAAACAACCACTAGTGAAATACCATTTGCATTAATCATTTAAGAGCTTTGCAAAAAGATTGCATCTCAAGAGATTTTTCCACTGAAGTTTACACTTTCCGGCTTAGTTTCATTACTTTTTACATATATTGCTTCGTAGCTGCTTGTTGTTCTGGGTGTTGGCTTTAGAACTTACACCTATTACTTCATTCCAAAGGTATACATTGTCACTTAATATACTGAAAAGAAAAATTCATTCCCATGTAATTAGTTTTACCCTGACAACTACAAAAATTTCATTGTAGTCTAATACCTTGCAAAATGAAATTTTGTTTTCACCCTTTAACTACTATGTAACAAGACTACAAAGGAGATGTTTGTACTGTGTTCAAACAATAAATAGATTCAGCAACAATTTTTCACACGGTTTCACTAGATTTTTTATGGGAATATGGATTTGCACTAATGGCTCTCCTTGCAAAGACTAAAACATAAGATTATTACGTATTTGTAGAAATTATTTTCTCTATCCATGACATGATGTTTCATTATGTCATGAATATTCTGTGGTTGTTATCAGCACTAATAAACCAGTAGCAATGACAGTAAATTGGTGCTTGAAGCCATATATCTGGATTAGCAGATATTCTTAGCAGAATTTAGCAATGCTACACCTCATTTTTTTTGTGAATCTGGCTCTGAAATCCATTACTCATGAGAAGCAGATTTAAATCAATGCTGAACATTTTAAAATCCATACTTGAAAGAATCCATACATGCAAGAAAAAGTAAAAAGAGTGAAAAATATTGATGGTTAAATGTTTGTCCCCAGCCTTAGGAAGATGCATGATCCTTGATACCTCAACACCTATATCAGATAAGGAAGATATCCTTGTTTTTTGAACTGATTAAACTTTTTACTTTATAGAAAATTAGATATAAATCTAAGCCTGTAAGAGCAAGTGATGCAGAAAATTTTAAATTAAATATGAAACATGCAAACTTTCAGACATATGACTTCACTATTATGCTTGATTTAGTGAAGCTCAGTGTCTCAGTGCCTCAGAACCTCAGTGCCTGGGGTGTCTATCACCCCAGCTTTTCCTCCACTCTTTTTCTTTCTTTACTCTACTGCATTAGTATAGCGCATTTCATAAGAAGCCCTTCTTCAAAGCTGACTAGGTTGGTAATATTGTCTAGCAATAATGTTTTTGAACATTTCCTGGGCTAAGATGTTTTCTACAGACATTTACTGGCATGCTAAATGATGACAATTTGAGACACAATTTTATTTGGAAATAAAGTGATACAAGTTTAGTTTATTTTTTCTGAAAAACAATAACTATGTATATTGTTTTGCTTATGTTAATATATTCTTGATGCCTTTTCTTTGAAATGTTCTGACATCTTCCTCTTTTGGAACAGGATTTTGAAATTTAACAGGAAGAGTGGCCATTGTGGTGAAGATGTAGGTCTCAAAATAAACTCTGACAAGTCTAGAAAAGGCATAAGCCTGCAAAGATAACTGATCATGCTTGTAAGTACTTGATAGTGTTTACCTAATAAGTTTTTCATTATTTTTCACTCAAATAAGTATGCGCTTATCACAACTCCATGCGTGATCAAACTGTGCATACACCAAAGTATCAGAAAATTAACATCCATGTCAGGTAGGAGAGAACAGGGGATTTTTTTCCTGGTAACACCTGCTCTCAGCTGGCTTAAGCCCCAGTGCTTGAATTAAAAGATGGGAATCTGCTTTTCATGTGCCTGGGTTATCTTCCAAAAAGGAATTGTGAAAGATTAACCACTTTGATTCAAATGCATAAGGAATTTGGTCTGGAGAAGAGATCAGGATTAAACAATTAAACAATCTTCTATGACTATTCATGGAAGGGAAGACAGGAACTGTGGACTGAGAATCCCTGGTGGATTGACTCCTGGACAGCAGCTAAGTCAACATTCTGTCACTTACTCCCTCCCACACAACAGGACTGGGGAGTGAATCAGAAAAGTAATAAAAAAAAAAGGAGGAGAGGGAAGGGGAGGGGACCAAACAAGTGGTACAGTCACCACCTCCCCTCAGCAGATCAATGCCCTGACAGTCTCCAACCAACTGCCATTTTGGTAAACCTACTAGCCCAAGCTAGTTTTATTGGTGAGTACAGTGTCATATGGTAGACAATATCCCTTTGATTAACTCTGGTCAGCTGTCCTAGCTGTGTCACATCCCAGCTTCCAGCCCAACCCACAGCCAATGCCCTGGGAGGTCAGAGTAACAAACAGAGAAAACCTTGACACTGTGCAAGCACTGTTCAGCAACTGCCAAAACACTGGTGTGTTATCAGAACTGTTTTGGTCACAAATCTTAAACACAGGACCATATGGGCTGCTATGAAGAAAATCAACTCCATCCCAACCAGACCTAGTACAGAGTTGTGCTGGAATGACTAGAAATCACAGCAGAGAAAAGATAGAAACAGCAGAGAACAGAGACTGGAATAGACGTTGAACAGGGAGGCTCTTCACTCTACAGAATGAATAGACCTCACTTCTGTATCTCAGTCAAATGACCTATAGACTTACTTACTGAACACCAATAATTCTTTTTTTTTTTTTTTTTCTAAAGGGATAATTATTCTTTGGCTTTTCAGAATTAATTGAATGTTTCACCAGTACACTGTAAGGTAATTTCACAACTGCTGTGTGAAGCAATGAAAGGTAAAGGATAATTGTTAGGTAAGGAAAAGAAAAAAAAAAAAAAAAAAAGAATCAATAAATTTAGGCTATTCAAATTTTATATTCATTACATGAAATTCAGTGTGCTTTGTATTATCTAGTACTTCATATCTTCAAAACATCTCGTTTCAATTGCAACTGGGAGTCCTCAGCAATTCGGATTTGAAGATCTCTAGATATAGTTACTAAAAAAATTAACTTAAGTGATTTTCCTAAGAAAACAAAAAATCTATGTCAGAGACAAAAGGTGTAATTCCAGTAGCATAAAGAAATATCATAGAATCATAGAACCATAGAATATCCCGAGTTGGAAGGGACCCATAAGGATCATCAAGTCCAACTCCTGGCACCGCACAGGTCTGCCCAAAAGTTTAGACCATGTGACTAAATGCACAGTCCAATCACTTTTTAAATTCAGACAGGCTTGGTGCAGTGACTACATCCCCGGGGAGCCTGTTCCAGTGTGTAACCACCCTCTCGGTGAAGAACCTCTTCCTGATGTTAAGCCTAAACTTCCCCTGCCTCAGCTTAACACCATTCCCGTGGGTCCTATCACTGGTGTTTACAGAGAATAGGTCGCCTGCCTCTCCACTCCCTCTCGCGAGGAAGTTGTAGACTGCGATGAGGTCCCCCCTCAGCCTCCTCTTCTCCAGGCTGAACAGGCCCAGTGCCCTCAGCCGCTCCTCATACGTCTTCCCCTCTAGGCCCTTCACCATCTTCATCACCCTCCTCTGGACACTCTCCAACAGTTTAATGTCCTTTTGGTACTGTGGTGCCCTGAACTGCACATAGTACTCGAGGTGAGGCTGCACCAGCACAGAGTAGAGTGGGACAATCACTTCCCTCAACTGACTAGCGATGCTGTGCTTGATGCATCCCAGGATACAGTTGGCTTTC